CTTGGCTAGTGACTCATTCTCATCCCTAGGAAACAAGGCCAACCAATTTTCAAGATATTGCCAAATAAATTGCAGAAAATTGTCCAGGCAGTTGCTAAGTATCAAAACTGTTTTGAAGGCACATAAATAAAAAAGTAGTGCTACTGTATCAGAACACCTGTGGTTAGGTAATGTTGTGAATCATAATGTTCACAATAATGGCTCTCAACATTTTGAGAGCCAATTTGACCCAATGGTTCAAGCATCAGGTCAGAAACCAGGACACTATGAATCCCAGTCCTCCCTTAGGCCAGCTGGATGGCTTTGGGCAAGGTACTTTCTCTCAGGCCAACTCAACTCATGGGGTTGCTGTTGTGGTGATAATAGGAGGAAGGAGTATTACTTATGGCTTGAGTTATTTAAAAAATAATAAAGAGAGGAAATAAATAAATATATAACTAGCCTATTTCTTATCTAGGGAAACTGACCTGTATTTCATGTGTCAGATAAAGATAAAAGGAGAAAGATCAGCTACAGTTTTCTCCATATTAAAGAGAGGGTTAAATGTGGAAGGAACAATTAAAGCAGAACTGGTTATAATTTGCTTTAAAAACGTAAACAATTTTATTTGGACATAATTTTTATGTACTTTCATTTGTTACTGTGTCTCTAGTTCTATATTTTACCTCTGTGAAAAAGGAAAAAGTTCTCTAGGCAAAAAAAACTGCTGAAAATTTTGGTACAGCAAAAATTTAAAAAGCACTATCTTAAAAAAAGATTTGCCACTTAATTTAATTTGACATATTATACTATCCCTTAGCATAACAACAACTGGAAATACAGCAGATTTCTGCAAGATAATCACAAAGCTGATTTTGTACTTAAATTTGGGGGTAAGCTCTCTTGAATCCAGTGAACTTGTAAACCTGTATAGGGATGTGTGCCATAGTCTCTTGCAAATATGCAAAGTTTGGCATTGCAGGGCAAACTTCATTTTACTTTATATACTTCCGGTATGTACTATGTGTCTAAAATTCTTCCTACATAACTTGTATCCCTGTGAAAGAGAACCAACAGCTTCTGTGTTGGGAGCAGGGAGCAATGGACTATTAAGATGTCCCCTTGGCTTTCTGAGGTTCTATTCTGTCTACTTGACCAGCAGTAAAACTCTCTAATCTCGCCTGGGCTAATCTTTGAGCAAGTTTCTCTCTTAATTCAGGTTAGTGCGCACACCTAAGAAAATGCAGGGTTCGAAAACTTAGACCGAAGGCTAAAAAAAAATCGACATCAACCCTAAAGCATTATCACTTATTTGATGGGGGAGAACTGAGAGGCAGGCACCTGTGCGGGCAGAGTCGCCGGTGCTTGGTTGCAATTTCCCGCTCCCTCCACGATTCTGGTCCCTGCCTGGAGGTTGCTATCTACCTTCCACCCAAACTTCCGCACATAGTAGGTGGGGCTCCAGTGCTTTTGAGCACCGGCGCGGAGCAAAACAAAAAAGGGTGAGGAAGCCTCGGGCTCTAGATTTTAGTGACCCAGATGGCTCCCCTGATGGCTCCTTCCTATGGATCCAGGCAGGTAGAGACATCAGTGGGTCTCCGGGAGAAACTGCGGCAAAGTCACTCTGGTCAGAAAATGACGGCTGTCTGCGAAAGGATCTGGAAATGCCTTCCGCCGGCTGATTGGGCTATGCTGTGTACCTTGGATAGGGCAGACCGCATCCCAAATCGTGATTGAATATTTGAAGAAACACCGTGAATCAGTTCATCCCATTGAAATCAGCGGCACTAAATTAAGCAGTAGTAGAACCCAGAAAGATTTCAATTTCTGAAATGATATTTTTTTTAATATTGGGCCATTGACTTAATAAAGGAGGGAAACAGAGAAAAACATGGATTCGACATATCCACCCCCCCCCCAAAAAAAAAGAATCCGGGGAGATAATACAAACGACTGTTCGACCACCGGGCCCCTGCCTTGTCAGAACGATGGGACTAATAGTCCAAACTCTCCGGAGGGTACCGGGTGGGGGAAAATCTGGCACTTCGAAGGGAAGAATCGCTTCTCCCCGATCCATTCTCTTCGCTTTCAATTGGAGACCGAAAAGAGATGTCCGCGGTGGGTCTGAAGGAATCAGAGAGACAATTGTATGGGGGTGACAAGATTCGGAGGGGGTGGTTTCTGCGCCTCGAGATCCTGAACGACTGTCAGGCAGGTTCGCTGGCCTGGTTTTCTAGGAAGGAAAGGAGGGAGCTGGAAGGGGGAGCGGAATTCCTCAGCAACTAACTGCCTCTCCTCCGGCATTACTGGGGAACCCTGTTCTTCGAAGGAAGTGGTTTTCGGCTACTGATCTCTGAAACATCGCTTTGATCTCCTTTCTGGGGCTGTCGGTTGAAATCTTCGAGGGCTAGCGAAAAGAGCAGCTTCCCCCATTCAAAAACGTCTGCCAGAAGGAGTGACGTCTGGCTGACGCGAATGTTCGTCCAGCAGCAGCAGCAATAGCTCGAGCGCGCCCAATTTGCTGCCGCACTTGGATCTAGCTGCGCTGGGCATCCTTAGAGCTACCAAAAGGGATGCAAGTTAATCTGTTTTAATTTGACAGATATAAAGTCCTGAAGTAGCTTTCATTCTTCCTATTCTTATCCTTTTTTAATCAGGGTTTATGACCCATTCACCAGCCACTGGATGGATCTGAAACCCGCCTTGCTCTTCCCAATCACGATCTTGAGTCGCCGCCACGACTCTTAAGCAAGGAAAGAAGGGGTCTGCCTGCTTGTCCAGGATCTGGCTCGGTAGCGCTGAAAAAACTCGCGTGAATAGGCGCGGAGTTTCACCCCCAGGCAGGCAGCAACTAAGTCCAGGTGGCCCGCACCGACCACGTGCAGGTTTATAGATCACACGAGGAAGGATGTAATCGTGATATGAGGACATTTTCATGGAACTAAATGGGGTTGAAGAATCTGACGGTAGAATAGTACACAATAGAACCACAGACGGATAGATTTTAGAACATCACCAACTCTTCGCCGTCATTACCACTAGAGAGGATTTTAAAAAACGCGACCCCTTAAGGGAGGCTGGTGTTAAACTGACCACCAGACCATCCTGAGCGCAGCAGCCACTGAACTCTCCTTTTCTATCCCCTGGAAAGGAAGATCAAAAGCAGAGCTGGGACCAAAAGTCCCCCAAAAGCAAATTCCAGCCACTCCTCAAAAGAGCTGACTTTTTGAAGCCATAAGAAAAGCAAATAGAACGTACGGTATTTTAAATTTAACTCTGCTCATAAAATGTTTATCGTTACTTCCAAAAAGGATTATTTGTGAGTAGACTCCCGCAACCGAAATCCGGTACTCCGGATTGAAAAGCAAACTACTTTCAGTATATTCTGAGCCTCACTAGTTTACCTTTTAAAGTCATTTGTTTGCAACACCCATCTGAACTGGTATCCTGCTGTCCTTAATTTTTAGCTGGATCATTTCTTACTGTCAAGAAAGATAATCCGCAACATCCCCCTAATCTGTTTCTATTTTGTGTTTTGTTTTATTTTCTTTATTTTTCTCATAATCAAAGCAACCAACTGGATCGTATGGATTTAGGTTTTAGAAAATTATTTACTGTTAAGTAAAGAGTACAGTGTCTAAATATGCTCTAGTCGAAGAATACAGACACATGAGAAATACAGTAAATTACTACAGTATTTTTATTCTCTTTCCCTCTTAGCGGTTTTTCTCACAATCGTAACGTGTCAATTTTCGTAAGTGCATATGGAGCAGAATTGTCGCGAAATTGCATGTTTTATTCACGCGGCAATTGTTCAGATTTCAAGTAAAAGTCCTGGAATTCAATAGAGCTGGAACCGGGCAGAATTTATTTTCACTAAATTAATCTGAGGCTGTAGGACAGGAGGCGCGCGTGTTTGTCTATTCAATATTCAAAGACTACAGGATTTTTTTATTGCAGTTTAGCAGATTTTCCTAAACGTCTTCTCGACGCTTCTTTTCTTCCTTGCCTTCGCAGGCACGTCTTTTCTTCAGCTTGACTCAAGGGTTTGACCCGGCGAAGTGACGAGAGGAGAGGGGAAGGGAAGGGCGCACCAAAGCCGCGGCTTTTGTTTCTTCCCCGGTACAGCTGAGCTATATAGCTGCTCGTTCCGGTTCGGTTTTGTTTCAGCTGGGCAGAGATAATTGACGCCTTGACGCCTCTGTACTCTGGATGTAGCTTGGGGGATTTGGACTGTTGAGCTGCTTTTTGTCTTGTTTGGAGGTGGAGAGACGGAGGAGACCCGTTGATTCCTCTCCTGCCATTCGCCGCCGCTTCTATTTATTGTTTTTTTAAAGGGACTTGGCTCGTTGGCAAACACCCTAAGGAATGAAATCACGTGGCTACAAAGGGGGCGGGGCTTGCTGTCCAGAGGACAGGGGAGGACCTTTTGTTGATTCCCCTGCTTTCCCTCTCGTAGTTCAGCCGCAGGAGGAGGGGCGATTGCTCCCAGAACCTCTGTTTGGAGGCTGTTATATGCATATGCATATATTTAAATTGGAGAGTAAGCAGTATAAACGGGACGAGGGGTGTGCTTCCCTTCCACTCTCTCTCCTTTCTTCCGTCCCGTATTTTGCTGCTTCGGTGCGCCCCTAGAAAGGATCCGCGATCAGGTAGGGCTTGAACACTTTCCGCTCCCAAACCAGTCCCCCTTTCACCCGGGAGAGCTTTCGCTGGCCCCGGGCGGTGCCCTTCCTCTTCCCCTTCGCTTCTCTCTTTGTCACTCCGTCGCTCCTGTTCGCCGTTTTCTTCCTTTCCCCCTCCTCACTTCACGGCGTTCCTTTCAAAATGGCCGATCTCTCTCTCTCTCTCTCTCTAAATTTGTCAGCCCTTCTCGGCTTTCTTTGTTGTTGCGGCGGCGGCGGCGGTGGTTGTCGGCGGGGGTCTTATTCATTGCTGGGAGGGATGCTGCGGAAGATTTTCCAAATCTTCGGATTTCCTGATCTTGGAATCCTAGGAGCCCTATCCCCTCGCCGCCTCCCCCCCGCCCGGCTTTGCAGCTAGGGCGCAGGGAGGTAGCTCCGGTTTTCTCTCGCTGGTGCCTTTGGGCAGCAGCTGGGGGCTTTCAAAGCCTTTGAACTCGAGAGGCCTTTCCGTCAAGAGAGCCGGAGCAGCTGGAACTGAGCTCGCTTGCTACAGAGCGGAACAAAGCACTGGGGGCTAGGAAGCCCGATGGACTGGGACCAAGCCTTGACAGGCAGGAGCATGTAGTCGGCAAACTCGAATCAGAGGCTCGACCAGGGATCTCTCCTTTCTCGCAAGAAGAGAGGGGCAGCTTGCGAGATCCGAATGTCAGGCGAGCAAGTATGCATGCAGTTTGTCCTAGGCCCGAGTGACGTCTCTGTGTGTATGTGTGTGTTTCTGTGTCTATGCGTGTGCGTTTATTTACGAGGAGGGGGAATAAGGGGAAATGTTATCAACTCTTTTAAAAAGACTGGTTTCCAAAACTCATGTCCTCCGGATCACTTAATCTTAAACCACCTCCATAGCTGGGGGAAGCGTGTATTCCGCAGCTCTTGGAATTGCCTGGGTGAGTTGGATTTCATAAACGGGAGGGGGGGGCTACAACCACAATATGGCGCACTACGTCGAGAAAATTGGGGAAGGAAGGGAGAAGGAAGAATGTAATATTTCGCTTTGCGTTGAAGCAGAAAGATTTTGTGATATGCCTGCCTGCCTGCCTGCCTTTCTTTCACCTCGGGCCGCAGCGGGTTAAAGTCTGATCTGGAAAATCTAGACTGGGGCGAGAAAGGGGTGTGTGTCTGTCATTCCTAAATCACGTGGGAACACGCTTTTCGGGGTGGTGGTAAATGGGGATGAAGGAAACTTCCTGGGGATTTTATGGAGAAGGCGCGTGAAAGAAGCTGGAGAAGGCAGAATAAGGGTTGGCCTTTACGGTCGCGAGATTTGCCGCCTGAAGATAGGATGAAAAGTAGGGACAGAGAGAAACATTCTCCCCCTCCCCTCGTCCCTGCCTGAAAGATCGGCTGGAAGGAATGAAGGAGATCTGGTTCAGTGAGGGAGGGGCGAGTGGAAATTTTTCAAGGGCGCCGCGCGCTGTTGTCCTTCGCTCCCCCCCTTCTCTCCAGATGTTGTTTAGGCTACGACCGCGCTCGCTCTCAGGGCCAGAAATGGATGTGAATCCTGGTATATCCCACCACAAGGAAATTCCGGAAGGAGAAACAGAAGTAATATTAACAGAGATGTGGGAACAGAAATAATTTACCTTCCTGAATGTGGATTATTCATTCCTCTTCACAAAATTCACTTTCCTGTCTTGGAGTCAGGCCTTTGTGTGTGTCTGTGTGTGTGTGTGTGGCTAAAGTGGTAATTTCTGCTTTATTATAGAAACATTTTGTTTGTTGCAACAAGTTAACTTAAGGAGCAGACATAGATCTTGTTTTCTAGTATTCAACAAAAATAACCGCATTTCTTGCATTGGAAGGAAGCATAGGCACCCATTTTTTTCCATGGATAGAATAATGGTTACCATTTTTCACATTTTCTTTAGGGTTTTTTTAAAATTTAGAATTAATCAAGGAATTACTTGTCCGCAACGTCGTCATTCAATTATTTGGAGTGAATGTCCTTGAATCTGGGGTGCAAATCGACTTTTTTTTTAACTTCCGAGGGAAAAAGTTTTACCTAGTCTTTTTGCCTTAATTTTGAAAGGAAGTCTTTCTTCCTTTCTAGAAAGTCTTTTTAGAAATCCTTCTCTGTAGAAAGCCGTTTCTCCAGAAATTAAAAAATTCCATAAATAAATCACAGTCCAAAGTTCTGTGTTTAATGAAGATGAACCCATGTTCTTATGTCTTTGTTACCATTCCCCTTGAAGAACAGGTTTGTTCAACACTCCCAACCCTAGAAGTTTTTGCTGCTCCTATTGCCTTTAAGATAAAGTATCTGTTTCTTGGGATTTTCATCAGGTCTTGGATTGGATTCCACCGCTGAAGCTGCTGTATCAAAGCTGTGGGAGAAAAGTAGAAGGAGCTAGTGCTCCAGGTTGATAGATAATGTATTCGTTTGTTATTGGGGTTCCTCTTCTCCTGCTCCGTTTCCCCCTCTCCCACCCACCACAAGGACAAACAGTTCATGAACATAAATGGATTCAGCTATGGAACACACGCGCGCGCGCGCACACACACACAGAGTGTAAGTGTTTGCCTTGTAGAGTGGTTTGGGGGAGATGGAGAAAGAGGTAGTTCTAGATTTGATTGAGGAAGTGACGCTGCTAAGCCCACTCAGGATGCGCTCTCTCCAGGAGACAATAGGCTGTTTAAATCAGCTTCCTCCAATCTGATATCCTCCAAATGTGTTGGGCTACTTCGTCCATAAATCCAAGGTTGCGTGGCCATTGGAAGGCACCAAACTCGGCAAGGCTGAATTGAATTCTTCCAGAGGAATAAATGAGGTAGAGGCTAACATAGCCGTGGCTTTGCGGCGCGCAATGCACATATTGCGGAAAAGATTGTAATCATGTATGCTCTGGATGAGGGGCTTCATGATCGAGAAGTCCGTCCACCCACTGAGGAACGCAAGGATCAATCAGAGTAGAAGTCTCTCCACCGGCTAAAGTCGGAGGCGCTTCAGCGTTTAGTCTTCTCCCGCCAATACACCTAGCCTCGTTTGATTGGAGGCGGCGCGGACGCCAGGCTAAATGGACCTGATTGATCCCAGCCGTGGGTCAATCTTCTCCTGACGCGTTGGTCGTCCGATTCTATACTTCCCACTTGGCTGGGAGAAATAGAAAATAGGGGATGGGCATCTCTAGAAGTAGAAGAGAATGGGCACCACACTACTCGGTATCAGAAGCTTGCGGAAGGAATGCGGTACTCGGGGTCAGGCAATGAATCCCACGCAGGGAGAAAGAACAGCTGCTCCTTCTCCCCCTCAAAGGGTTTCCGCTAATGGCCTTTTGGCTGCAAGTCACTGGGGAGGGGGCGTCCGAGAAAGAAGGACCCGCCAGCCTCTTGGAGGGGGCCATGTTGGTGTCAGACACCCCCCCATCTCGCCGCTGGGTGTGTCTGTGTCGTGGCGAGGTACACAATTCTACAGGAGACGCCCACTAAGCTCCAGGAATCGGAACTCCGGTAAGTAACTCCGTCTCTCTCTTTTCCCTTTCAAATCTTTTTTTCCCCCACCCCTGGAGGAAATAACGGTGATTTTTTTCAACCAAATGGAATTCTTGGTAGAGGCGGTTCAGCCACCTGAGGTCTCTTCTCTTCTTTGAAAAACGTCCACAGTATCAGGGTGGCAGGGCCGAGCAGCCGGGTGCCTTGAAACAGGCTAGGCTGCCGCTTCCATCTCCCTGGTGAAGACTGCAGAGGCAGAAGACCAAACGCTTGGAGAGCGCCAACTTTCCTGCAGCCTCCCCTTGCCCTGGAACCAGCCCAGATGGTTCTTCCCCACTCGTCTCGCCCTATTAAACTTTCGCTTCCAGGGACGGGTGTGGGTCGTATGTTTGGTGCTGGTTTTGAGGACTTCGCCTTTCAATCCGACAGCTTTTCAGGTGAGTTAAGGCAGAGGGGCAATGCTATTTAAATTCGGAATTGCCACCACTGGTTTCTCAGGATACACATCCAATGAATTACTTTTTAGTTAATGGGCTCTTTTAGAAATGGGTGCAGTGCAAGGATATTGCGGAGAGATGTATATGGCAGAGTGCGTGCTTGTTTGTGTGTGAGACAATGTGCACCATCTTGGGCTGAAGATCTCAGACTTGACTAGGTCGAAAGCAAATGCTTTTTCACCACCTGGTGCTGAACTTGGTTACCATATTTTTAAAAAGAGAATGGAAACTCTGAAGTTTGTTGACTGGACTGTGAAGCACCACCATTTTCTTTTCTTGTCAACAATATTGTACTGGGAAAGGAACTTCTCTGCCTTTCAATAAGGACAGACCTGTTCACTTTTTGGGTGCTGAAAGTGATGCAAACTGGGAACCCTGCGAATTCTCTGTGGCATTTCCAAGTTCTAGATTGAATTCTGTTCTAACAAAACATTTTCTCCTGGAAGGAGGGAAAATCTCTGCATTCCACATTCGGTTGTGAGAGGACATACATTGTTTAGTCCAACCTGGGCAAAAGTGCATGTTTGAACAGAGGAAGCATAACTCAGAGATACCCAAACAAATTCATTGAGGCATTCAGTGAAACCAATACCCAACAACAAAAGCAGTACTCGACACCAGAAGGCGTGAATGGATCTTGGGAGCCCACCCTTTCCTGCAGGTAGTCTTCTTTAACTTGATAGGGGACTCCATCTCCAGCCAGATTGGAAACAAGATGAAGCAAGTTTGCCTCTGGTTGGAAAAGACAAGGGAGGGGCTTTTCACTTCCAGGACACAGGGTCAAGTTACATTGGTTACCATTATCATACTGCAATCTCTGCCTACTCAGAATCAGCCCCCTGGGAGTTTATTTCTGAGTAAAAAGGTCAGGTAGGGAAACAGCAACAGCAACTTTTTTATTTTATTTTGGTTTCTTCAGACTGAAGAAAAAAAATCCAGTGCACCTTTATTTGCAAGTATGGATTTGGCTGCATATTTAAGAAGGCTTTTTGAAGCAGTTGATGGAACCTTTATAGTTGTGATTTTTAAATGAGAACTAGTTTGGCAAGGTGTTTGTGGAAGATACAAATTGAACCAAGAAATGGATGAAAATAACTCCAAATCCAAGAAGGTAAAGCGCTACCAATGAGCTGCATGCTGGGTTAGCTTCAGTTCATTTTCTTGAGAAGCTGGCTGTGGCTGGGTAGGTACAAACCTTCCCCAGTCTAAGCCTTCCAGGTAGCTGAACTATGCACATCATTCACAGCTGCTTACTGATCTTGCTGGCTTGTTAGAGTAATCTTAATCTGTCTTCTTCAAATAAATAAATATTTATTAAAAATAAAATTGGGAAAAAGTTTCAGGATGTTAGTAATGGGTATAATTTTGTAGCAACCTGAAAATATTAATTGTCTCTTAATGTACCTCTGGCAGCTTACAATATTTTAATCAAACCTCAAAGTCTAATCTGGAAAGCTTGGTATTACATATACATAGAACTCCTCTGGTGGGTAAGTGAATGCCTGTGTGTGCGCATGTGCGCGCCTGCATGTGTGTATATGCATAGGTGCACATGCATGTTGAGGGGGAAAGAAATTGTAAAATAAATAAATAAAAGTAAATAATAAAAGAAAAAAGAGTGACTTTAAACAAGCAGTAATAAGGTATAAGAACAGGTATCCTTGTATCCTGAGCATATTTTGTGTGATAAGATACTTCAAATTTTGTTTAATCCACAAAGAATGAGGTTGAATCT